AAGAAGACCCCAAATAAGATGGATTGGCCAGGTGGCAGTATCGATGGACTCAAGCGTGGCAACAGTAGTGAGGTTGGCCCAGGATCGGGCAGTGTTTTGTTCTGCTGTGCATAGGGTTGCTATGGCAACTTGATGGCACCTAACAACAACAACAGTATGTATGTATATATATATAGTTGTTGGGGTTTTTTTTTTCAGTAGTAATAAGTACTATGCAAAATAGGGAGGTAGAGAGACATAAAGGAAGATAGGCCAGTGTTGTGGCTATTTCAAAAATAAGGCAGCCAGGGAAAGTCTCTCTGAGGAGGTCATCTGATTAGAGTTAATCATGAGAAAAAGAAAACATATAGGGAGCATAGAAATATTGTGATAAAATAGTAGTTTCAATTTCTTTGTACACTGTTAGGAGAGCCAGGGAGCTGTAGGTTATGAAGACAGAGACAGCCAGCAGGAAACAATATCTTCAAAATAGAATGAATTGAAGGGATATGTAGACGGGTTTCAAAAACTCTGAGAAGAAAGTAAAGGTCCTTCAATACATAATCCCCGCATTACCTAGAGCTTTATTTGCATTTTATTTTTTTAACCCTTTATTGTGAATTGAGTCAAGGTTTACAGAGCAGGTCATCAATTTTATATTCAACAAATCATATACTTTACTTCATTACAACGATTGCAATCCCCTTCATGTACCCATGGTTAACAGTATCTATCGCTATCACTTTAACTTTTACATTCCTTCCTCTGTCTCTGCTACCTTCGTCTTTCCTCTGCTAACCTCCTTCTTGTTGTTTATTGATAAATACTGCAGGTACATTATTTTTCTTTGAGATTATCCTCTAATGCATTAAAATTTCCCCCTGTTTAAAAACCTGTCTGTTTATCTTGAAATCTACTTGATTTCCTTACCAAAATTGGAAGTTCAATATCCATGCTATTCCTTTTTTTTGCTTTGTAATTGACCATTATAAATTGATATCTGGTTCCTGTTTTCAGTCTTGTAGACTCGTTTTGCTTTAAATACTTCTATATCTGGATTAGACTCCTGGTGTGACACTGTAGGATCAGCACTGAACTCCAAACCACAAGGTTGACAATTCAAACCCTACCAGCTTCTCCTCAGAACCCTATACAGGGTCACTATGAGTCAGAACCGACTTGAAGGCACTTAGTAACAACAATAGCTGGGTTGAGTTCTGGTTGGTGTTGTCTTTATAGTAATCTCAGGTTCTCGTCTGCTTTTGTTGGTTCTCAGTCCAAAGAACACCCTTTAACATTTTTTGTAAAATTGGTCTGGTCATTAAATTCAAGAAGCATCCTAATTTCACCCTCAAAGGGACAACTTTGATGGGTATATGATTCTTAGTTGGCAATTTCCTTCTTTCAGAGTTTTGTATATGTTATCCCATTGCCTTCTTGCCTTCATAGTTTCTGCTGAGAAATCAGACCTTAGTCTTATTGGTTCTCCTTGAAGGTAGTGTTTTATTTTGCCTGAGCGGCTCTCAGGATTTTTTCCTTGTCTTTGGTTTTGGAAAGTTTTATGTTGATATATCTTGGTGATTTTCTTTTGGGATCTATCCTGTTTGGGGTTCATTTAGTTACTTGTATGCTTATCTTCTTGTCCTTCATGATGTTAGGGACGTTTTCTTCCAATAAGTCTTCAATTTTCTCTGTGTTTTTTATTGTCTCTTCTTGTTCTGTAATTATGATCCCCTATAAGTTGCTCTTCTTCATGGAATCCCTCATAACTCTCAGGGTTTCTTTGGATTTTTTCATTCTTATTTCTGACTGTTCTTCTAGCAGAGTAGTATTGAGAGATTTATCTTCCAGATCACAAATTTGGGCTTCCATTGCTTCACCTGCTCCTTTGCCCTTTCAATGTATTGTCCATTTCTGAAATCTTAGTATTCGTCTTCTGGATTTCTAATTACAGGTTTTGCATTATTTCAAAATTTGTCTTTATTCTGTCTGTTTATTCTTGTAGTATTTTCCTGAATTCTTTTAAAGTTTTTTCTGTGTTCTCCTTGCTTTCCTCTTTCTTTCTGTCAATCCTTAGACGATACCTAAATTCTTTTCCATTCTAGTTCCATTACCTTTTATTTCTCAGAAACATTTTCTAGCTCTGCATCTTGGCCATTTGTTTGAGTCATTCTTTTTTGTTTCTCTGTGTGCGTTAAAATGGTCTGCCATATCCAGGGCATTGTGGGGTTGTCGTATTTGTATTTCATTGATGGTTATATGTCCTTAGACTCTCACCAATTATCTCCTGTGGGTGTAGTTAGAGAATGGAAGTGTGTACACTTTTCTTTTTAGCCCCTCATGCATCTCATGTTAGGGTGGGTTTGGCTGGTGTTGGTGGCTGTCTATCATTGATCAGGTGATATAGGAGATGGTAGTGCCTCTTGCCCAGTGAGTGGAGTATCAGAGAGTACAGTTGTGACTAGGCTGTATGGACACGGTTGCTGTAAACTGTCATGTGGGAAAGAGAAAACCCTTCACACACACACACAAATAAAATAAGATAAGGAAACAAGGAACAAACAATGAAAAAATAAATTAAAACAAGTAGCAGTCAAAAAAAAAAAAAGAATATAACAACTATAAAGACAAAAGAGGGACAGGGAAATGGAGATATGAAAAACAAAAATAAGAGAGAAAATAAAAGGAAGAAATTAAACAAACAAACACTTAAGAACCACTGAAAAGAGAAAAAGGGACAAGAAAATGAACCCATAGAAGATAAAACTAAGAGAGGATATAAAAGAAAGAAGTTTTAAAAAAATCTTAGAAAAACTGGGGAGAGGGAAGACAAAAAGAGAAAGAGAGTAGAGAGTAATAAAGAAAGATCAAAAGAGGGAGGGAAGGAAGAAAGGAAATGAACAACAGAAGAAAGAGGAAAAACAAAAGCATAGATAGATAGAAAAGAAAAAAATCAAGGGAATGCAAAGAAAATAGGAAGAGAAAGAATAGAGAAACAAAAACAATGAAGCAACAAAAAAGGGAAAAACCAAACCCCCAAACAGTGCAGCTGTTGGATCTGGAGAGAAGAAAACTCTGGGGGGCTCCTGCAAGCCAAGCTGTTCATGTGGTTGGTGTGGGAGGGATGTGACCACAGAGTTCATGGCCCTAGATGGAGTTCCTATCCACCTTAGTGTTATCTATGTTCAGGGTACTCAATCCAGAAGTTATTTGTGGAGACCCTTGATGGAGCTGGTTTCAGTGTCTGTTAGGACCACAGAGCAGCTGGGGGCAAGATGATGGGTTACACGCTGGTCTGGTGGCTCTGCAAGTTCTTTCCAGTCACCTGTGTGACTCTGCTCTGACAGGCCACCTTCTAGTGCCAAAGCTGCTCACAAAGGTTCAAGATGGTAATGTCGTGTCTGGCTGGCCATTCACCAGTCAATCTTTCTCTCTCGCTGTCCTTGCTCAGCTTCTCCTCCCAGCAAGCACTCAATCTACTTTTCATACCTTTCTTCTGAAGTTCAGCAGGATTTTCATCTGTTTCTTTTTTATTTAGTCTCTCATATCTTTGTTGTAGAGGATCCCTGTTGTGCGTCTGTCATCTTACTGAAAGCCTCCGTTCTGTTTTAAAGTGATGTTTTTTCTGTCTTCTCCACAGCTCAGCAAGAAGACTCAGACTTACACCTTCACGATTAGCCAAAGTGTGCTGGTCACCAACCTGAAACCAGCAGCCATCAAAGTGTATGACTACTACCTACTAGGTGAGGGCTTTTACCCTCATCTCCCAACACATTCCTGTCTCATTCTTCATGACATCATTCTTTATTTTACCAACACTGCTTCCCAAGCCAAGTAGCATGTACTTACATTTTCTAATTTCCTAAAAAAGCATTAAAAAAAAAAAAAAGAGTTTTCTACATTAGAGACACTTTTTATGACAAAGTCCATAAACAAAAGAACATTGTAGACCAACGTTTCTTCAAGGGCTATTTTTAATATTTTTGCTGCAGTTAAATAACTCACCGGATCGTTTCATTTCTGATTTACCATAAGCATGCAAATGTTAGTGACTGAAAGTTACTGTAATTTCTGGTATGCTCACAACATGAAGGGATCCTCTGAAAAGGGCTAAAGCAGTCTGTTTTTATGAAGCGTCTCTCTTTGAATGTATAGGCCCTCAATGTAATGACAGTATCATTCCATTTTACAGATGAGCAAGCGACAATTCAGTATTCTGATCCCTGTGAATGAGGTGAGTCTGACACAGAGATGGATGAGTCTTGGGGAGATGGTTTCAGAAGTTAAGGAAACCCTTAACAGTAATTTTGCATTACTGTTGTTGTCCTTTAGGAAGCATGTTTTGATTTGTTTATTTTTAATAGAAACTGTGCTCTCCTTTTTTATCCTAACCTCTTGAGGATAGAGCATGATAATCTCCATAATTTCCATCAGAAAATTTATAGTAACATTTGTGCGAGGGGTTCTGTGTGACTTAATACAATAATTTTTTTCTACGACATTGAAAATAGATTGATTGTTTTCCTAATTATCTATACGTAATAGATCTTTCTTATATAAGAATATTAAGAAGAAAGTAAAAGTTGCCTGATTCTACTCTCCTGAGATAACATTATTCATAATCTCCTCATGCTTTTGTGAGAGTTTTTTGTTCTATATACCCTGACATCTCTCATAGGGAGATGTGGTGCAGTTATGTGCCGTGGAATCGATTCTGACTCATAGTGACCCTGTACAGGGTTTCCAAGGCTGTAAATCTTTATGGAAGCAGAAAGCCTCATCTTTCTCCTGTGGAACAGCTGGTAGTTTCGAACTGCTGACCTTGCGGTTCGCAGGCCAATTTGTAACCACTACTCTAACAGAGCTCCTTCTCATAGGGGAGAAGCTCCTTTAAAAATAGAAAGACCTTCTGAATGTCATGATTTCTTCTTTTTTTTCCAGGATAGAAGCTGGAAAGATACTAAATGAATCCTCTGTCACATTACTGGAGGATATAACATTCATCTGACTCTTAACAGCACTTGTTCAATCAAGTAATTGATTTCTCTCATTAACAAATGGGTGGGTAGCAAATTTGCAGGCCTGAACCTCTGCTGCTTTATCCCACCCCATGGATGCATAGATGGCAGGATAAAGCAGTTGGGGAGATAGAACAGGAATAATCACACAAAGGAGGAATTTCAGAGGAAAGGTCATTGCAGAGGGGGGATGTGGTTTAGCCATTCAGGAGACAGTAAAGAGAGGAGAGGAGATGGTGGTTAAGAATGATCTAGAAAAGGTAAAATTGTCTTCCTGGAGCTTACATGTAAAGGAAGATGTGATTTAGGGCTTCTGGTATAGGCTAAAAAAAAATAAAGTTTTGAAAGAAAATCTATTCACTGTGTTCTTTGAATATTTATGTCAGTACTAAAAAGTCTGTTTAAAGATGCTTATCATCCTTTTACAAAAACACACAATGTAGCTTTTCCTTAAATTATTTGCCCTAGATCTCTTGAAGAACCATGCTGAAGATATAGGTAGGAAGAGTCAGAGAACAGTTGACATGGAATAATTCTGACCCCTGTATCAGAATAGAACTATGTTCCATAGGGTTTTCAGTGGCTGATTTTTCCGAAGTAAATCATCAGACCTTCCAAGGTGTCTCTGGGTGAACTTGGGCCTTCAAAGTTTCGGTAAGCAGCACAGTGCATTAGCAGTTTGTTCCAGCCAGGAATCTTGGGGTGGGGGTTGGGGTGAGGAAGGGAGTAGAAAACCCTTTATTTAAGGGCGCTCTGTTCAGTCAGCGGGTCATACCACCGCAGAGACTGATAACAGGAAAGTGACTGGCCAGGGTTGTGTCTCTGCTTTCCTGCTACATAATTCTCCCAGCTTTTCCCACATGAGATAACTATCTGTAGTAAACTCTTCCTTGGAAAAAAGTGTTTGTTTTGTAAACAGAGGTGAGGAGTAAAAGATTGGTGAAAAAGATGAGTTCTGTTTAAACAAACAGAAAAGAATCTCTGGTCAATGATACCCTTTTACCAGGGATGTTCATGCTCTGTAATTGGTCCCTTGATCTTAAAGTCTGAAAGAAACAACCCATTGCTATGGAATTGATTCTGACTCACAGCAACCCTTTGGACAGAGTAGAACTGCTCTTTAGGGTTTCTGAGACTGCAAATCTTTATGGGAGCAGACAGTCTCATCATTCTCCCTCAGGGTGGCTGGTGGGTTTAAACAACCAACCTAGTGGTTAGCAGCCCAACGCTTAACCCACGACACCACCAGGTCTCCTTCTGATGGAAAGTTTTTGTTAAATGCCTTCATAGCGACCCTGTATAGGGTTTCCAAGGAGCAGCTGATGGGTTTGAACCTCATATGTTCTGCTTCAAAGTCCAGTGCTAATTCTATGGAAAGAATAAGGGAAAAATAAATGCAGAATGAAGAGATTACTTCCACAAAGCCAGAGCTACAGTTCCATAAACTGTTCATTTCCTGCCTCCTCCACCCTCCAGGTTCCACTAGGCACTGTTTGTTGTCAATTAACTTCTAGAGGATTCCTGCTTTTGCTTTTGTTGTTCTTCTTAAGTGCCCTGAAATTGGACTCATAGTGACCCTGTATAGGGTTTCCAAAGAGCTGCTGGTAAGTTTGAACCACCGACCTTGCTGTTCAAAATGACATTGCAGTCCAGAGCATTATCCTGCAGTACCACACCAGAACTCCTACTCCTGTTGTTGTTGTTATGTGCCGTGGAGTCGGTTCCAACTCATAGTGACCCTGTACGGGTTTCCAAGGCTGTAACTCTTTACAGGAGCAGAAAGCCTTGTCTTTCTCCCGTGGAACAGCTGGTAGTTTGGAACTGCTGACCTTGTGGTTCCCAGCCTAATTCATAACCACTACGCTACTATTCCTGTTAGAAGGGCCCAAAGTGAGGGGAGATGGAGAAGTATCTAAAGGAGGTCATCTACAAGCTGAGCCCTAGATCTGAGCACTAAGCTTCCCTAGATCTTAGCCCTCAGATCTAGGAAAGAGAGCAGAGAGAACTCTAAAGAAAAGAGGTCAGGCCTGAAAACTCCTACTCCCTCAAAATTCCACCCCCCTTTACATTTGAGACATTTTAGATCCTTGCTTCTTAGCAGAGCTTCCCTCTCTGCTCAGGAAGAAATGGTGATCCTCAGGAGTCAGTAAGTTATATCTGGACAGAACACATATTTAAACCATCACAAAAACTCTTTATTTTTGTACCTTTTTGGATTTTAATTGAAAGAAGAAAGAAAGAAAAATCGTACTATTCAAATTACCAACTAATTTGAATACCAAAAAACCAGTTCCAAAAACGAATTTCAGACTCATTGTCACTTCATGTGTGTTGGAGTGGAACTGTGCTCTGTACGGTTTTCACTGACTGATTTTTTTGAAAGTAGATCACCAGGCCTTTCATCTGAGGTGCCTCTGGATGGACTCGCAACACAGCATGTCCACTGTTTCCACCATCTAGGGAAGGATGAACATTTGCATCATTTAGCTGACTGAAATAAAAACATTGTGCATGTTTGAGGGGATAGGTAGTTGTAACAATGATGTGATATTTAGCTTAGGGTGACACGGTGTTATCATACTTATATTAAGTATCAGTACGTAATTTGTTATATGCCAGGTACTGTATTAAGCCTGAGGATACAAAGATAAATGAAATGAGATTTCTATCCTCAGGGAGTTTACAACCTGATTGAGGTGAGAAACAAATTAAAAGTTGTAAAAATATTGATGAAGAAACTACTGAAAACTGGGAATCCTGGGTGGGGCAAGCAGTTAACATGTTCAACTCATAACTAAAATGTTGGAGGTTTGAGACCACTCAGAGGCAACTCTGAAAAAAGACCAGTCACTGAAAAGTTCTGCTCTGACTGAGCAGTTCTATTGTTCTTTCTGTTCTACTCTGACTGAACAGCCCTACTCTGACACACATGGGATCACCACCAGTCTGACTAATCTGAATGACAACTATTTATTTATTTATTTTATGGAATGCATAGCGGAGACATCTTCTCTTCTCAGGCTGAGGTGGGAAAGAAAGGCAAGGAAAATTTTTATGAGTTGATGTCTTAAGCTGGATGAGAAACAGCCAGAAAATGAAAGAAGTGAGTTTCAGCAATGTGAACTACATGTGAAGTTGAAAAGGTGAGAGAAAGCATGCCATTCTACCCACGTAATTCATGTTTCCATGGATGACATTGCACGCATGTGTGTGTGTGTGTGTACACGGCCTAGAAATTAGATTGGGAAAGTAGAGAGGCTGGATCATGATTTGCTTCTAAGAAAGATCATTCCAGCAATGGTGTGAAGAATGGAAGGGAAGAAGAAGATGAAAAAATCTTTTATTAGACTGCTGCAACCATCCAGATTAAAGCTGATGAACAGACAACGGGATGAAGTTAATTGAGTAAGGAGATAATCAGGAAGACTTAGTAATGTCAAAGACAAAATGCACAGGACGGTTAAAGAGATGATTTTGTTCAGGCTATTAATGAGGAATGCCCCAAAGAAATGGAAGGTGACCTGGGGTTTCTAGAGGTGGAAAGCAAGGGAGTCATTTCCAAATCTTACAGAAAGATGAGAGATGGTCTTCTCTAGGTGACAGTAGAATGGTCCTTTTTTTAGTTCACTGTTGCTGCTCCAAATACAAAAGGCTGAAGGGATGAGAAGATTCTAAACCATTGTTTTCCAGGCCCAAAGGGCTCAGGCAAAGTTCAACATTGTCAGTGACTGAGTGGATGTAAGATAGGAAGTCAATTTGGGAAGACCACCAGGATTCTAGCTAATGGACTATGTGTGTATTGTTGTTGTCAAGTGCCATAGAGTAGGTTCTGACTCAGTGACCCTGTAGGGTTTCCGAACAGTGGATGGTAGATTCGAACTACTGACCTTGTGGTTAGCAGTCCAGTGCTTTTCCTGTAGGGCCACATCAGGACTCCAGGCAGAGGTATGTTATTAAGTGATACCGAGTCGGTTCTAATGGCCACTCCAAGGAGCTGCTGGTAGGTTTAAGTTGCCAACCTTGAGACTAGCAGTCCAGTGTTTGCCCTAAAGTGCCACACTAGGGCTCCAAGCAGAGATATGTTATTGTTAAGTGCTCGCTAGTCATTTTAGGCTTATAGTGACCCTGTACAGTGTTCCCGAGGAGCTGCTGGTGGGTTTGAACTGCTGACTTTGTGGTTCACAGTCTAGTGCTGAACCTACAATGATACACTAG